GCCAAGCAAAGGAGAAAAGGATCATTCGTCTCTCCATTTTTATTTCACCCTACCGATATACCCTAGTCTAGCATGTTTCAAGGCACGATGGCCAACGTTTGATGTTACGCGCTCTTTTGTGCCAATTGTCGACATTTATGATTCTTTCTGGTTTCTCATGCGAGCTTAACCCGTCCCCGGAGTAATCAACGGCTCGCGAACAGACCGAATTAATCTGATATTTCACAGTTGCTGATCCTGTCGCGGACAAAAATCTACGATAGCCCTGGTCGATTAAATTATTCGCTGATTCCGCCAGCCTTGAAAAATTCTCCGTTAAATGGTTCTTTACACACACGCGCGCGTATTTTATCGAGTTGGTGAAAAAGTTTGATTTTCTAGAGAACAATTGAAATCCTATAATTAAAGAAAAAGGTGGTTTGTTTAATGGAAATATTATCAATGAATAAATTTTCCGATGTTTTCGCAATTCTTTTTCCACGTATAATCACACAATTTAAATTCACACGAGTAAATTGGCGCAAATTTTCATGAAGTTCGTAGTTGATTTCAATTTCAAAATATTCTCCTTGAAAATTTGAAAGCGCGCAGAGAGAGAGAGAGGAAGCTTTAAATGCGAAACAATTGTACAAATAAACATACAATTGTCGACAATGCTTTCTATTATGTATTCTTCAATTTTTTAACGCATTACGTAACGCACCTGACAAACAGTTGATGTTCAATCGTAACCACAAGATCTTTTATTTTGGCTGTATCGTTTTAAAATTTGTTTTGTTAAATTAAGGTAGAAATGCTTGTAAGATAAAATTAAGGATTAAATTAGGCTAGAAGTGCACAAAAAGGCACGATCTGTACAGTGCGAATAAAGGAGGATGTTAAAAAAGGGCTAATTTTGGGGAACCATCCCCCGGTTTTACGGAAAACTGAAGTCCGATCATCTACACTGCGTGTCAATTGTCATATATTGTCGTTAGAATAATAACAAACGAAGTAGGTCGTGTGTAAAGACTTAGTTGTTTACTAAGAGACAGTGTTTCTCCAGAAAAGGACAGAATATGTGTATGACTCGGGGAGACAACAAAAAAAAACTAATTTGTTGTTGTTTCACAGCTATAACACATCTTATTACAAGAAAAACAAACTTAGGAAACGATAAAACGAAATTGTTGCAGTAATTAATCTAATTAGCTATACGTTGGCTCTCCTCTATTTTCAATTAACTCAATCATTCGATTGTGTACGTAAAAATACATACATATTATTCACGCGTACACATACCGTGAAACTGTAGCTGTGTAGCTCGCAGAGACACGCTTCTCGTTTCATTTTTCTCCCAAGCTGAGCTGTTCGTTGTGTACTTGAATTCGGTACACTAGCTTCTTGTATGCAGCGGCACTCAGCTCGAGAGACACGCTTCTCGTTTCATTTTTCTCCCAAGCTGAGCTGTTCGTTGTGTACTTGAATTCAATGCACAAGCTTCTTGTATGCAGCTCACTTAATTCACACGAACGAATATGCTAAGTACGTAAATTGATTCGAAATCCACGCACAATCGAAACCGCTTTATTCGAGGGAGCACTGAATTTTCTACAAGACTATGATTTCACGGTACAAACGTCGTTCGTCGACGCACTCGTTCGGTAGGCCCATAAGCACTAACTGCGTACGTGACGATCTGCCCGATTTCTGCTCTCTGTTACACGAAGCAATTCTGGGAAAAATCCTAGGCGTGTGAGTGACACTCAAGTATGTAACTTGGGCCTAGTCAACCTAACGTACCAAAACATTGCGCGAGGCTCGCGATGTTTTTTGCTAGTGAAACATGAGAAACTCAAGCAAAACATAAGAAATTCGAGCCGAACATAAGAAACGCGAGCCTGGGTCGCTGTACATACATCGAGCCAAACATAAACTAGCTGTCTGTTCGCGCACAAAAAAGAGTTAGCGGGAAAAGAATTTTCTGATTTTATATTACTTTTATTGGCAAAACCGAGAACAAACGGCACGCACGTGGTCTTCTTACAATACAATACGCCATACTTCTTTTCGCTCGACGCATGCGCGGTCGCCGCTTCCAACGCCGCTCGGCGGACGCATACCGATCACGGTAAAAAGACGCGCCCCTTTTAAATTCAAATCGTTACACTGTCTTTTTAAGAGTAAAACTATCGCGAATTGCTCGCGAGTAGACACTACGTCTGAGAGTGACTGTCTGAGAACATCGCTCAAGTCTCTGAGAGTTACAACTCGAACTAAACACGAAGGTACATACCATTTTGAAAGTAAAACTATCGCGAGTTGCTCTCGAGAGTATTCTCGCGAGTGGACACTGCCCCTGAGCTTGACTGTCGGAGAGCATTGCTCAACTGTCTGAGAGTAAACGTGTCCAGACTTGCTCTCAAATGGATACGTAATGATACTACTGTCGTACTGTTGCTTTCCAAAGACGAAGTAATTTTGTATTCTTGAGAGAACTCTCGTGTGAGTAAAATATGTCAGGAAAAAAAGATTCATCGAGAAATGAGACATGCTTCTCGTTTTATTTTTCTTCCAAGCTGAGCTGTTCGTTGTGTACTTGAATTCAATGCACAAGCTTCTTGTATGCAGCGGCACTTAATTCACACGAACGAATATGCTAAGTACGTAAATTGATTCGAAATGAACGTCAAAATTTTTCAAAAAAATATCCGCGCATAATCGAAAACGCGTTGTTCAAGCGAGCACTGTATTCCCTACAAGACTATAATCGCGCAGTACTGGTTAACTTCACATACCATAACATTGCGCGAGGCTCGCGATGTTTTTTGCTAGTGAAACATAAGAAACTCGAGCCAGAGTCGTTGTACGTATTATATGGAGCTAAACACGAAGCTAGGTGTCCTTTTGAGGACAGCCTCGTAAACACTGACTGAGGACGAGTCGTTCTGCCCGATTTCTAATCGCTATTTGCACACAGCTAGTCTAGCAAGAAACATCGGGACTGAGTCACCCTTTTGTCTCATAACATTGCGAGAGACTCGTGATATCTTTTCCAAGAAAAACATAAGAAACGCGAGCCTGGGTCGCTATATGTACAACGAGCCGATGGACTGTCCGAGAGCATAGCTCAACTGTCTGAGAGTAAACGTGTCGAGACTTGTTCTCGAATAGATACGTAATCATACTACTGTTGAACAGTTGCTTTCCAGACACGAAGTAGTTTCGTATTCTTGAGAGAACTCTCGTGCGAGTAAAAAATGTCAGGAAAAAAAGATTGATCGCACGTGGTCTTAATACAATACAATACGCCATACTTTTTTTCGCTCGACGCATGCGCGATCGCCGCTCCCAACGCCGCTCGGCGGACGCACGCCGATCACGGTAAAAAGACGCGCCCCTTTTAAATTCAAATCATTACACTGTCCTTTTGAAAGTAAAATTATCGCGAGTTGCTCGCGAGTGGGCACTGCGTCTGAGAGCATCGCTCAACTCTGTGAGAGTTACGACTCGAATAAATAGTTGCTTTGCAAACACCAAGCAGTTTCGTATTCTTGACAGAACTCTCGTGCGAGTAAAAAAAGTCAGGAAAATAAATTAGTGGAAACATGAAATCACTGATTTAATCACTCTCTATGAAGAAAAATCAGTGTTGTGGAATACGAAAGATAAAGTATAAAGGAATGATTTTTATATTTTTTCACCGTAAAATAAAAACGATTATTTTGGGACTTATTTAGTGTGATTTACCAGTATATTCACTATTTATGCGTGCATTGTATTGTGGATTTATAATAACACAAAGAAGTAAGGCACAACGTGTTCCTATGTTCCACAAAAGTACAAAAGTACGGCGTTTACAAAGCATACATGATCGACTATAGCGATTGTAAAATCTTCAATTAACACTTCCATGAAAACACAGTCTATTTACCGTAATACTGCTAATTTAAAAAATAAAAAGACCAAACTGCAACGTTACGAAAAAAATGTTTTAACAAAAGTTGTTTGGTATGGAGAGGGACGTTATGTGGTGTAAATATTTTTTTTTGTACCTGGTATGATGGGGGAGATTTCAAAGTCAGTTTAATTTTTTTAAATTGAATGCTATACTTTTTTATACATAATACGATAGTTATGTTAAGACGAGTTCAACGAGCTGCCAACAAAGTCATTTCCTTTCATGGAAGGTCGTGTGTCTGTTTTATCGAGATTTGTAAATAATACTCAATATGAGTTTCTAAGTGGTTAATTTACGAACAGACCATCGTCCGAAGAAAACGAGACGGAATATAAGTTATAAGTATGGTCATACTCTTACCTTGAACCGCATTTTTCATAACTTTCCCATCATGTCCGGGAAAAATGGCAATTACATGTTTTGTTTCTTAGGATGCGTAGAATCATGCTGTAAAAAATTTCTCATTCCAGCCGTATGCCAAAATTGGCCATTTTTTAACATCCTCCTTTTCAAAGTGCCTATAGGAGTCAACTATTTGATGGGGAAAACTGTTGGGAAATTATGAAAATGAGAATGAGTTTAATTAAAATAATGAATTACTTGTTATGCTGTTATCTTCATTTTTAACGAAGCAGAAAAATAACGGAATTCCTCGTTTCACCTTCGACGTTGCTTTTCCAAAGTAGCCCGATAATTGAAAGGATTTTCATCGTTGCAAATGTATCGAGAGAAAAAACAGGAAGAAATGAAGAAAATAGAGAAACTCCGGAGCGTCGAATTCCCCAATTATAGCACGAATCGTCCAATAAACGCGTTTCGATTCGGGTTGTCAACTCGATTCGAGGCAAAAAAAAAAGAAAGAACAGACTCGCTGAAAATATGGAAAGGGCGGGATCAGCGATCGTGAAATGTGCTCTTTACCAGTTGAATTGGAATTTTTCGAAATTTCGCTGGGATGTATTAACGCGTAACGTAAATGGAATATTCGTGGGAAAAAAAGCTACATTATTCGTTCGAAAATTGAACACGTAACTTCCACATTTCACGCCAATTTGGCCGTGACAAATTTTTATTATCGTCCCCCAATTAATCGTAGGTACAAACTTCAACGTATCCATCCACAATGGTATTCATCAGCAATTATCACAACAATTTTCCTCAACTGTATCTCATAAAAAGAAAAAAATAAGAAAATCGTGCTCGAACAAGAGCATCATCATTACACACACACACAAAAGAAAAGAAAACAGAAGAAGGACAACAACGTGTTCGTTCTTCGACGTGATCCATTTTCCACTCGCTTGGTTGTCACAGGAACGCATCGAGCACCCTTAAGTATCGATTCACACGCGACGTCGTTGCCTTTGAGGCGTTTGCATCTTCTCTGTGCTAACTGAGAACACGTGTGAACACAGTCTCTCTCGTCCACACTTGCTTCCCTCTCACCGAAAATTTATCCATTTTTAACCAGTGTCTCTTCAAAACGATTCCAAGAGAACAATATTTCCAGCAACATCTGGACGAAAAGGGATCTTCCTATTTTACCGCGAAACGGTTCGCTGAATCACCAAAATTGTACGAGAATTTCAGGTGCTTTGTAGTATCAAGATGTTCGCCAATTGATTCTCGTGACGTCTACCATATTGGATCGTCAATCAGACACTCGGAGACAGTCCAGTGTTAAGGGATTCGAATTCAGGTCACTGAGGGTGTGAGTAGCCGAGGCAATTCGACCAAAATCGGTCCATCGTATGATAAAGATGAGGAAAGACACCTGCAAGAGCATGAGCCTCGTCTCCCTCCACCCTCCGTGTCACGTCCGTGTGGTTGTAACCGTACAGGTTGTCCTCGGGAGTGGGCAGTCCCATGAAACGCTCCGTGTAGAGGGAATCTGCGAGATTGGGTTAAATCGCGTTTTTTGTTGCTTCTCAGAGTGGATTGTAACGGTATTGTGTTGTATTAGCCCCTTAACGGTCACATTTTTCTCAACTTGATATGCCAAAAATGATCAATTTTATTTTTTTCTAATTATTTCCTAGACGTATAGAAATAAGTTTCCTATTTATTTATAATGCTGCGACTTACATTTTTGCAATGGAATAGAAAGGATAGCGCAATATGAGAAGTGGAAGAAAATAGTTAACTAAAATTGCTCTCTTTAGAGAATTAATTGTGCACGTGTAAGATACAGGCATGAGCGTTAAGGGGTTAAAAAGGATTTTCGAACGGGGGTATTTAATCCTCGTACGACGAACGCAGGGTCGTTTTGACTCGACGGCGATAAAGTCAGGCGACTCAGAAATACACCTATTTTACGTATCGGATGTAAATAAACAAGAAAAATATCTTTATACACAATTCTTTCTTGAAATCCGTGTACGATAGAAATTTTCTATTCCTGCATTCCTCCCAAAACCATTCGCCTTCCGAGGGTTAACACGTTGACTGCCACGGTGGTGGCCGCAGATTGTTTCTCCTGTAGCGCCACGGTGGTCATCGGTGACCGGAGTGCTTCAAATGTTTATAATTGCAAAAGTTGAACGAACATTGACTGTTGATGAATTTTGAACATCATCGCAGATTAGAGAATACTTTGAAATAAAATGTGCACTACTCAACAATTAAAAATTTTTACTAGAAGATCCAAAATGAGAGATTAATTTTTATCAAATCTTCTATCTACCGGTGTATTGTATTGATCGATACAGTCTGGGCAGTATGTGGTAACCTTTTTGGTCCGAGGTTTAGCAATCTTTGTTCCAAAACTTGCAAAATTTTTTTGATAACATTCTTTGCAAAATTTTCGCACCAGGTAGCTGGCCCTTCCTTTTTTCGCATCTCATGTCATAATTTTCTTCGGATAGATATATTTGATGGCCCTGGTGTAAATAAATATTCCGAAATAGTTATCAAGTGTCATCGAGTGCACCAAGGCGCCGCACGGGTGACCACCGGAAAGATAAACGCTCCATGGGTAAGAATGTTGCCTTATACAGTATTTATTATTATTTTGCCATTATATGCTTAGAATAATAAAAATACTTTCGTCTAATGCGATTTCGGCGTGGCAGTCAACGTGTTAAAACCCTTTCAAAGCAATTCCGATATATTTTATATACCTCAAAAGTTTCAATATTTGTCACCACAAAAACATAAAGTGAGACTACTAGTGATCGGTTTTTCGGAGCAACGTGGGATACGACGCGGAAAGGACATTCTGGAAATAGCCGTCGAGCAAGACGGACGCCGGAAATCTTAAGAAGCGCTTAGAAATAAAGAATAAGTTATTTTTGGGATACCGCACTATCCGGATATTAGTTCTTTGTTGTAGACGTGTTTCTTACAATACTTTCGTGGCGTCCTGAGCAAAACATGTGATTTCGGCGTGGCAGTCAACGTGTTAATGGAAGTGCTGTTGTTTCGACATCGATCAGATTTTCGAGATGGAAAATTGTGGAATCTCGTGAAAATGGATTCTGGGGCTAATTCGTGCTTTTGTTCGTTCTGAGAGTGAATTGTAACGATATTGTGTTTTACAGGAGGATTTTCGAATCGGTGTATTTAACAGAGATGACTTTATTTCGATATCGATCAGGTTTTTCAATGAAATTTGTAGATGAAAGGCTGTGTAATCCCATGCAAATGGATTCTGGAGATAATTAGTGTTTTTGTTGCTTCTGAGAATGGATTGCAATGATATTGAATTATGAAAGAGGATTTTCGAATGGGTGTAATTAATAGAGATGCTCATATTTCGATACCGATCAGGTTTTTGATTGAAATTTGTAGACGAGAGGCAGTGGAATCCCATGGAAATGGATTCTCGAGCCAATTTGTGTTTTTCTTGTTTCTGAGAGTGGATTGTAATGACAGTGTGTTGTATTAAAGAGGATTTTCAAACGGGTGTATTTAATAGAAGATGCTATTATTTCGATAACGATCAGGTATTTGAGATGGAAGACTGTGGAATCCCGTGAAAATGGATTTCGTACTTAATTAGCGTTTTTGTTGCTGCTGAGAGTGAATTGTACCGGGTGAAATTTTAAAACGGATACTTGAAAGTTTGCGAAAATTGGGGATCTAAAATTGTAGGACTTTTCGAACGAATGTTAGGCAATTATATTACCCTGTTTGCTTGGATTAATCACTTTTCAACGTGTCGCGAAATTACCATAATAAATCCAGGAGGTCACAGGTGCAACCGATATGCCACACTTGAATACAGACTCTCTGTCGGTAGCCAATGCCATGGCAGTAGCGAAGCCGCCATAACTCCAACCCCATATCGCAGTTCTGTTTGGATCGATCCACGAATATGTTTGCTGCAGTATCCTAAAAAGCCAACGAATATTTTCGCAATATTCTCTCATAAATAATGCAGATATTTAGCTTTTTAATAACTTTCTGAGTAAATTTTTCTATTTCACATCAAATCTTTTTCACAGAATATTCTCAATAGCTACGAAATGTGATAATATTTCCGTAACCGATATGGCATGCATAAAATATTACTCCGACGCAAATGACCAATTCTACAATCGTTAAGCATCAAATAATAATAAAGTGAAACTGAGAAAATCGTCGAGAAATTCTCGTGGAAACAAAATTATACAAAAAAAAAAAAGAAAAGAGAAATTGTATTTACCTAGTAACAGTAATTTGATCCTCGATCTCCACGGTACCTAACTTTCGATATATCTCGAACAACATCTTGCTTCCCTTATAGGCGGACCCACGACCATCGATTCGACCGTAAATCACACTCCTGTTGGTCACCATGTACGCCTCGAAACCGTACGTTACCTCGTCCGTGATTTTAATTGTGTTTGGACCCGCGTAACTATAAAAAAAAAATGTAAAAAGTAAATAAAAATTACAGAGTAGAAGAGATTCCACGATTTCCCGTGGGAATCGCGTTTCTATTTAGCCTGTACATCGATTGTGCCCGCTTAATGGCGTCCAAAGTTCCGATACAAGTCTCAAGATTGAGTATCCACTCGATTTTCTGGATTTTTCCACAGAATTCAACAGTAGCCACTTTTCGAACCTGACTGAAAGTGGATTCGAACGAATCTTGACTTGTTAAGGGTATATTTATTTTTTCTCCTTCGTATATACATATGCTTCTCGTCTTTCAAGAAAATGTTTCTGCTTTTGCATTAACCCTTTAACCTACAACAACGTGTCAGACTCGTGACAGAGAATCTGGTCAAGATTTGAGAAAAATAGTTATATTAGCAAGAAAAATTCATTGTAATCCTAACTTTCGTTTTAATTTGTAGGATTAAGGATTCCTAAGTATAATTAATCTGTAACAGTTTAGCTTTTGTTACCTGATGCAGTACTGAAACATTAAATGGCTGACGCTTGTATGCATAGTCAGAAAAGAAATCATAGATCAAGGGGTTAATAGCGACATAATTGAAAAAAACATACACTTCACCAAATACTTCGAGCAATGATTGTATAATCTAATCCACTCTGTAGTATGAAATTGATAAAGTTTAACATGATGTTTTTAGCATGATAAAAATACTGTACCTGTTCAATCTATTTGTGTAATAAGAGAAGATGAGAATAGACATTTCATATCGTACGATACATGATATTTCTGTGTTTGCACGAATATTTGGACAGAGTTGATTGAAAAGTTATTTGCTAGGAGTATTTGCGTTTGATGGATGGGATAAATGTTCGTATTAAAAATACAAGGAGATTAAACGGCAGTACTTACACGTTAATTAACAGTGGATAGGCTTTTTTCTCGTCGAAATCCGGTGGCATGTATAGTCTGACTTTATTGTTGTAGCCATTCGCTTTCACGTTCAGGTTCTTGATCACCGGTTGCTTACGGGCGGCTAATTGTCGTCTGAGAGGGCCATTGTCTTCCCAGGAATACAGCTGTCTGTGATTGGCATCCATAATCGCGATGAACACCGGATCTGGTCCCGAACATGACAGCGCGTAATAGGAACTGCTTTTGGAGAAGAACGCGTACGCGTAGGTGCAACGATTTCCTGCCAAATAATTCATATTTACATGGTGAAGAATTGGCAATCGAATTTCTCTAGTTTGAAAATGAAATAAATTCGAGAGGTGGAAGTGAACAAATTTTCAAGCGAAATCTGATTTATGAAACCGATGCGTTTCGTTGGAAATGTGACGGCTTATCAAAGACTTTGAAATATCTAATACAATAAAGAAAGTGCAGTTTCGTTAAAAAAAGAAACAACAATTGCAAAAATCCAATCACCCAGTATATAAAATCCCACTTCGTCGAAATTCCATTTGCAATAAATAAGCAAATTTTCAAATTTTGAAGTATCGATTCTTCTAAATCATGCCCTATTATTTTTATAGAGAGAATATTCAGTGGAATAAATCAACGTAAAAAAGGAAATTTAAAATAATTAATAGAAAAATTAATTGAAAAGAATACAATTGCAAAAATCTAATCACCCAGTACATAAAATCACCCTTATAAAAAAAAGTGTCCCTGCAAACATCGAATCACCCAGTACATAAATTCACTCTTAAACGAAAGTACAATTGCAAAAATCAAATTACCTAGTATATGAAATCGTTCGTAAAAGAAAATTGTGCAATTGCAAAAATCGAATCACTCAGTATATAAAATCACTCTAAAAAAAAGAAATTGAATCACCCAGTATATAAAAAGTCCCACTGTCGTCACTTCATAAAAATTTCATTTACAGCAAACAAACAAATTTCCGCATCGATTCTCGAATCGCAAAGTGGTCCAATTACTGGACAATCACTCTCCACACTGGAAATACTCACCCTCAGGAGTAAGAACGTTGCAGGACAAGCAAACGGGCGCCGCGTTGCCCGCCAATTGCACCGAATACACGTTCCTATGCGAAGGTTTATCCAACGTGGTTCCGAGATAGTAAAGTCTCTCTCTAACGTGATCCACAGCCAAAATCGACATGACTTCATTTGGTCCAGGCGTCAAATCCTTCTCGTCACTCAGCTTTCCATCCTTGTACACGAATCTAGTCGCGTGCTGGAACCTGCCAGCTTCCGTTCCGGACTCCTGCAGCTTCAGGATGATCACGTATTGATTGTGATAGACTGGAGGTTGAATACGAAGCCAGCCCTCGGTTTCGTGCTCGTAGTGGATGTTCTCTACGTTGCCTTGCGTGTCGTAAAGCACCAGCTGAGCCTTGTTCTGCACGCGATTGGTCCAAGTAGCCACGAGTTGATCTTCGTTCCTCCAGTTCACGGTGTACAGAACGTTATCCCTTTAAAAACACGATTTTTTGGGGGAATTTTTACTTCGAATTTGACGCTTAAAAATAACAAGTGGAGAATTTTTTGTTTCTCCTGTGATAATTTTGCAAAGTGTTTTATTAATCCTTAGAAAGAAACGACAAAGGATTCTACTGGTAAGATTAGTTGAAGCTCTTGATTTCTAATGCGATAATTTTGTAAATTTTAATTTTCAATTAGGGCGATTAGAAATAACAGGTGGAAAATTTTTAGTACGATAATTGTGAAGGAAACAATTCGATTGTAGTTCAGAAATGTTATCACTTGAATTGTCCGGTAAAAAAGTGAATAGGAGATTGAATATAGAAAGAGTATATTAATTGCTGCAGAGTGTTATGTAAACAGCGTTATCGAGCTTCTGTAATTGCAGCATTTGTCACGAGAGCTCGTCAATCGGCCAGCTGGAAGATAAGATATCCAACCAGAGAAATAAATTCATGCCGCTTATTGTGTCATAAATATTAATGACAAAAGAGCATATTGCTTAAGCCCGTGCAAACACAACGCGAGAATTGTAACAGCAGAATCTAACAATAAGACGTTACTCACACTCCAATGATATCAGCAGGTGATTGTAAATGAACCAATTTAGAGGAAGGATTATCCAGATCGATTAAGCTCAGTGACACCACTGGATTCGGACTTCCAGCCTGAAATTCAAACAAAAATAAAAAAGATAAAAATCGCAGGAATTTCACTTGTTCAATCGACGAGTAATTAACCGTGAGTTAGTTCGACAAGCTCTGACAAATCCAGCATCCATTTGTAAAATTCAATTCCACAATTATTGATTTTTGTTTTTATCAAATAATTTGTAAAATATTAATTTGAACTGGAGTCCCTCAGACAACACCAATCTAAGGCTTGAAAAAGTTCACCAGACAAACTTAGGGTTAAAGAAAAAATTTTAATTCAATTTCACAACTTTGGATTTTTGTTTCTATTCAATTCTCTTGATAAATATTTCATTGCTTTCTGAAATATTAACTTCAAAGGCGAAAACTGATCAAAATTAAAATTCCGTTAAATCAAAATTCCTCAGACTAACACAGGGTTAAAAAACAAAGAGAACAAAAAGTAGAAATTCAAGTGGGGAAACGATCGTTCTGTGTAAGTACAAAATCGAGATTGGTTTCACGAGTACGGTGCCAATATCGAGTCGTGACAGTCTTTCGCGATCGTGTCGATACAGTTGGAGAGAGAATGGCCAGAGGGAAAAACTAGGGGTTAAACGTGGCAACGACCGCGAGATAACCCTTTCATCCCCTTTTAAAGCTGGCAGCCTAGGCCGTAAGGGCAACTCGAGCTTCCTAATCTGATCCTTAACGACCATCCTCCTCGCCGTCGGACAAATTGGCTAAAGCAAGGGGACCATTATCCAATTCGACGGACTTCTACTTTGTTGAATTTTGCCAATTTTTGCGCTACGCGCGGTGTAGAAAATTCCTCCGACTCGTCGATTTTCAAAAATTCGATATTAAAAAGGAAAGTGTACTTAAGGGAATTACTTTTGGATATTTGATCTTCACTTCCGCGGGATATTGATCCTTCATAGTTCCTGGATCGCCGTACATCGTTAATACAATATCCTTCACGTGGCTGTCGTTGAACGTTGCGAAAGCAAGATGGCGTCCGTCAGGGGAAAACCAGAGAGCCGAAGCTGAGGCGAGAATTTCCTCTGCAAATACCCATACACTTGGATTTAATTATCACTATTTCCCCCCCATGATCAATCTGTTAACTGGGTTCACCTCTCAGACAGAAATCGAATCTCCCTAGACTTTTAATTAAAAATAAGTACAAATTATAACCAGTCGCTTCATTTTGGTTCTTGCAAATGTTAGTATGATGTGTTTTGCATTTAACATAAACTACTGTGTTCTAAGTATTTGCGAACTAATTACGAGGTAACAGATTAATACAGAGATATAGATTTAACCTTAACACTTGGATTTAATTATCGTTGTTTCTTTTCACACCTAACAACAGAGATTAATAACTTGTTCCCAGTAAAGCGACAGTTTATCTCCATTCTTTTTCTCACCTTCGTAAACCCAATCAGGAATTCCATTGTAGATCTCGTCGATCACACCGGTGTTGGTAATTCTTCGAAGATCGCTGCCTTCTTCGGAGAATACTTGGTAATAGATATCGTTCTCGTGAACGTAAATTAGGGCGTTCTCCGTGGGTGACCATTTGAAATAGGTTAAACGAGCGCCATTTGCAATATCCGTGTACGTCCTACGGGAGTAGAAAAAGTTAGAAAAAAATTATCGTCGAAGATAATTGAAAGCTTTATAACACAAAGCATTGGAAATTTTACAATGTCAAGCTTGATAAGCTTGCCCGTGTAATTCGATAAGGGGGATTATATCGAAAAGGTGCACGTGACAATGTTGCATAGGATAATGAAAATCGATCGATCGTTCATTCGTGGTTTTTCGCGTGGATATTATGGAACAAGGTATAAAACAACAGAACGGGCGATAATTTTATCATTACGACGCTGCACGGTCTCACAGTAATTCGGCTTATCGTTGAATCGTTAAAGTTGTCGAAATAACCTCTGATACATCGAATATCTGAAGCCCTGAAATAAACAAATTGTATTCCTGCAGGGTGTTCACTTTAACGTGCCGCATACATTTTTCGATAATGCGATAAGAAACAGTTATGAATCAAAATTGAAGCCAGTGTTAACTGGACAATGTGCAAGGATGGTAAAAATTTCAAATATAGTTCGTTTTCATAGTGAATCCAAGGTCACCTTGAGTACTACGTAAATCTTTCTTTTTTATTATATTGCAAAGAACATTAAGAGGAATTGAAGAAGCACATTACATGATACTTTTGTTTAAAAAATTCGTCTATTTAAAAAATAGGTCCAGGTGGGTTTGTTAGATTTATCAGTCAGTTAGATATAACAAAAATTAATCTAACGCCTTACTAGGAAGTATATATTACTTTTGTATACGTTCGGAGGAATCCGTTTAGCCTTACTACCTCTGTTTAGTAAAGATCTAAATGTTTATGATACGTGACAAAAGGCACTTCGGTCCCAAGCGGGGTCGTAGACAATATTAGGGCGTTGCGTAGGAGCATTCTCAGTCCGTAGACAGTGCTCTTACTTCCTTGTGTCTAATAAAAGTTTATAGTTTAAAATAAGGATTATTAATTATTTAACAACCAATAACTCTCATAATCCAATAGGGTTCACTATGAGAGCAAACTACATATCTTCCATCTTTTTATTATCGTTATAGGCGTGTTGTCCACTTAACGGAGGTTGTTATCGAAATTTTGTGCACTTAACACAGATAAACTTCTTTTTAATTAATCGCTACATTTCGGTATATTTTCTCAAATGGCTGAAAAATCGTGCGGCACGTTAGAGTGAAAATCCTATGTAAATCCCCTTTTCCTTTCAACTTTCTCTTTGAAAAATACAAAATTAAATCGGAACTCACGCTGGCGTAATCGTGGCCGATCAAAATGAACGTGTTGTCGAAGGAGAAGTACACTGTTGGTTTCTCGTAATCAGCCTGAAATTATTTAAGAATATCATCGTGAAGTATTGCACAAGTTTGACAAAAATTAGCGAATGTTCGACAAGGAAGATCGAAGAACGACTTGATTCGCCATTTTATTGGAACACTAGGGAGAGAGAGGAAATTGGTCCCGATGGAACAGCAGACGTTCGGCATTCGAGGCAATATCGAAGTCTCGGGATCTGTACGAATGCTTGAGTGATTTGAAGTATCGATACTATTGATTTCGTGCCAGGTTATCGTACGCGTTACGCCACGATAAATCTTAGATTGTCACTGTGGATCAATGCATTGACATTAATTCAACATCGATACGACGAGTTTCTGCGTCGTAACTTGTCCCCATTTTTTTCTCCACAATCAACATACAGCGAAACTATCGAGAGTGTAAATATTTTTGTACGTGTAATGAAGTGAATTATTGTACGCGACGTGAATTTTTTTTCTGTTGAAAAATTGTCATTCGAAACAATAGAAATTCCTGCGGAAGTAAAGAGATAATGGTACTTTATGCTTAACCCTACAATATAAGTTTAAAAAATATTTCTATTTAATGCTGTTAACCCTAAGAAGCCCAAGGTAAAGAAATCTTTACAAAGTTTGAAACTTTAGTTTTCCTCGTAAAATAACTGGTTTTTGTGTTAGAAAGTACATAATTGCTTTTAATCATTGTCAACGAACGAATCAAATACCGTGTTCCTTTTTGTTTTAATTAAATTCAAATTAAACAGATTCCTTTTTTAATTAAATAAAAGTGACAGAAGAAATTGTATAGAACAAAAAAGAAAAATTTATTTCTTTTCAATTAAACCTGCTTAAAATTCGAAATGAAACCTCCTGAAAGCTCAGACATTCCGTATATTTTTCGAATTGAATAAGGACAAAAGTATTGACTAAACAAAATCAAATTGCGTAAAAAGGAAAGAAATGTTTATTCGTCTTTAATTAAACAGAACAATTAAACCTCCTTGAAGAGTTAAATAAAAAAGCTCGAAGGAGCTTGGGTGTCCCAGGGTTAGTGAAGGAACATTTGAGAAAGTGCAGGTTTCTTTCTGCGGTATGCAAATCTTTCGATTACATGAGAGAGTGTTTGGCACGTCGCTAAACAAGACGCAAACGATGATTCCCGGGGAAAATTGAACAGAGAAGCGTCAAATAGCGATGTCTCTTAAATCAACACCGTAGGATGTTGATTCACGCTCGAAAGTGGACACTGTAATTCACCGGTTAAGAAGCTGGACCACGCGGAGAATTTCCGTACGATTAATTAAACGTGGCCGTGTTATTTGTACGTGTCCCCGATCGAGGGAGCCTGAACATCGCAGAAATTTGTCCCGAGAATTGAAATGCAATTTCTCGAAAGCCCAACGTATTGTGAAAATGAAAATTGCTTTCAGAGAATTCTACCGAACGTTTGAACGGCCAATCTTTGATAGTTGTGTTTCTTCCAAGATCAGAAGCACCGTGTCTCGGATCTCCTCTAAAATTGATCCAAAAAGGAGTATCGAGTACTTCATTATCTTCTAAAAGAAAGGAAGAAATCCGAAAAACGATCATTTCTTTCACTTTATCAAGATTTGAAATACTTTACACCAATTATTAATCGATGCTTTCCGGTTTGAGCATTAAAGTCATTTCAATGGTGGATTAGAAGGGTTATTGCAACTTTTTAAATTGCAAAATTTAATTTTTGAGGGGTGAAGAACAACCACTTTGTCGATTTGTGTAAAATCGCCAAAATTTGCACAGACTTTTTTCGCCAGCTAAAGGAAATAAATATAAATGGCATAGCTGGTGAAAAAGGCAGTGCTAAGGTAATTTTACATTAGTCAACAAAGCGATATTTTTCTTTCCCAAAGAATTAAATTTTTGCAACTTTACCATTGTAGCAACGATACACAGTCGAGGACAGAAATACGTGGACACCCTTCAAAACAAAGTAACTTTTTTAAAATTCGGCCAAACGACTTGATTTTTCTTAAGAAGTCTTTTTTTCAAAAATTTAGAAAAAATTGCCATTTGTGGGAATCGCGAAGGAAACTGTAAAGGTCGCTGTTTACAACTTTCTTATCTGGGCTTGAAATGAAAATTTAAAACATACGTTTTGTAGACCTATGTTAATTATACACACGCTGAAAATTTCATCGAAATCGGTTAACGTTGCTACGAGCTACAAACGGTTGACTACTTCAACGGCACTATTTCACGATTTTCAGCCTGTAACTGTAATAAATCTGAAGATTCTTACATCTTTCGATGCCTGCCGCTTGTTTCTTCATCCACCGATTTCGATGAAATTTTCAGCACGCCTATAATTCACATAGATCTACAAAACGTATTTTTTAAATTTTCATTACGAGCCCAGGTAAAAAAGTTGTAAAAAGCGACCTTCGCTATTTTCTTCGCGATTCCCACAAATTGCAATTTTCTCAAAATTTGTTCTACACGTCACCTAGTAAACTGATCCTTCTAACGTATTCAAGAAGTTCAAGCTGTTTGACCTAACTTTAATAAAAGCTATTCTACTTTGAAGGGTGTCCACACATTTCTGTCCTTGACTCAGTTGTTCCTAGTTTAGTTTCCGATGATTCCAACAATCCAGCCCATGAAAGCCTAAAACCCTTATGTCAATAACCAGAATTTTAGTAGTCTTCTTTTGCTTTTCGTCTCCCATTGCTAATTTTGCATTAGAGGCGATTTTTGCCGGTTCGCTTCTGAGGGATCTGTCTAGTTGTCCTTTGTCACTCATGACCACGTGTTTATCTAACCTCAAAAATGACACCGGGATAATGTTCCGTTCTCTGTATACCTATAACTTCTTCCGAAGGATCACCTTTATATTATTTCACGCAGGACTATACTATTATCTTTCAAACCCACGCTGACTTACTTCTCCGGCTTTTCCATAAATTTATCTCAATTTTCCTCTCCACGTGCTCTACTAGCGTACTCCCACCAAATTCAAATCCCTCAAATTATCGAATTTTAGTAGTCTTCTGATAACAAAATTCGTAACTTGAGGCAAACACGGATAGGAAATGTGCGAAATAACAACGATCTGGCAGGATATTTCGATCTTTTACCTGGAAGATCAAATATTGTAAGCGAGAATTATGCAAAAGGGTACCCGGTTATCGACATAAGGGTTAAACATATTCGTACCATGGTCATTTAGAAAATGAAAATAAAGATGGTCCAACATCGTTCCTCCGCTTAAGTCTACCATCCACTTCTCGACCTCCAATTTACTCTCCATACAAACTTCTGCTCGTTTTAAGACACGAGAAGCTCGTGAAAGTGAATCTTACCGCCACAGACGAGTCCATGAGGACTGTGCTGATCCCCGTTGTTACGTCGAACTCGCGTATATCGCCAACATAGTTATCAGAATAAACGATGTCCGTGTCCGTTCTCCAGGTACCGTTGAAGATATTCGCGCGAAAAGTTTGGTCGTAAGTCTCCTCCAGTGTGAACGAAGCGCTCGCAACTCCATAGCCGTTCCCCCCGTATCTTCCTGTATCTTTGTCGATCACTCGTGTAACTGTAATGGGAGAAACAAGAATTTCTCAGGAATTTCTCGTACTAGAGGAAGAGGGAGAAAACGAAGGAAAAAGTAGAATAGAGGAAGCGGAAGAGATTAATCGCAGTTTGATACGAAAGAACTGAAGGAACCCGAGGTAATCCATTTTCCAAAGTCGAAAGAGTTTCTTGAAATAGGTAGACTGATTAATCGCGGGTTTATTATTCATCGAGCAGCATGTGGGTCAGTGCTGTGACTCGGGAGACCATGATCCACATGCTGGGTAACGTTACTTCGACTCAGGTGTCCATGAGACGCGAGAATGTTAGGCGAATCCTGACCTTTTTGAGTCTAGGATGTCCACTTGGATCGTTGATATTAGTTTTTCGAGAATTTAAGATGGACGATTCAAGGTTTCCAGGCCAAATTGGTGAAAGTTATTTTATTTCTGCGAAGTTAAATACCGATGGAAAAATTGAGAAAAATGGAGTCAGTTTGGCTTCTGAAGCACTTAGGTAACTTAAAAAACACTCGTTTTTAAGCTACACGCTCATCGAAGACCAAAAAATCACCACGGATGCAGAAAGAATACAGAACTCGATAAAATCTCTATCATCCAAGACTCGAACTTCCGGTTCTCCATGTTGGCGATCATGAACGTCAAAGTTAAAAATTGAGAAAAATCCAATACGTTGTTTCTTTCATATCGCTCTAATTTGCACTGTGACAATGAGAAATAATTTTTTGAAAACCGTTGAAGGCTGAAAGGCTCCCCACGCAAATAATAAATGGAGCTTTGCAGGTTAATACTCAGTAACAGTGACGTAAAAGGAGAAGAAATTTGGAGGAAATTAAAAGACGAGAAAAACACTTCTCAATAAGAGCTAGTAAATAACGAATCACAGAGACTTGGATCGCTAGAAAAATAGCAAATGAAGGTTTGCAGAGTGCTCGATTTCCGATTTCCACCAGAAATACGAAGAGAAAAGGAACTTCTGCCCGAACTTCCGGTTCTCCATCGAGAACCACGCGAGAGATATCCATCGTTATACCTCTAATCACTCATCACGAAGAACGTCTTATCGATGAAACCAGTGGAACAGAGAGTGGAATATCAGGAGGGCCACAATTAAACTTATCTCCCTGGCAAATAACGCTGAAGAGCATTAGCCCGGTTCCCGTCGATCTCGAGGCATCCGGCTATATCCAAGAGACGTCCGGTCCCTAAGCGGCTTAACAGAAGCACGATTATCTGTCGGGGACAAAGAAGCAGAAACTTACTGGATTTCCCGGCAACAAGGACGACCATGGATCCTTGCAACGCCAGCACAAGCACCAGCAGCTGTACCTGCAAAAGATTTCATTCTTTCGTTCAAACAGTCTCTCTCTTTGTATATGCGCATCGTAAAGAAAAAAAAGATCCTTCTCGTGTCTAGAATTTTTACATCCTTGCCCCCTTTTCTCCCTCTGCAAGTACCTTCGCAAGAAAGTAGCAGAGGAAGAGGAAGTGGACGGAAGGATGTAAAGAAGAGGCTGAACAAAGGGTGTCGACGTGGAAACACGTGCAACGCATAAAAGTTTCGCGGAGGCGCGACACCAATTTCGCGAGCCTGCCAGTAAAATCCGCGAAATTGCTGGCTGACTCCTGACCGGCCTCGTTAAGCTCGTCCACGCCTGGGAACTTTCCGGTGTGCCCTCGTCGAATATCTATATGTATAGAAGAGTTACTACTGGTTGGAAAAAGGAAGACGGGGCAAGAGGGCGAGAGAGGTGGGTTCGTTGGATGGTTGTTCGAGTCGTAAATTAGAAAGGGGGATGGTGTTGCAGCCGAAGACACGAGGGGATGTTTGTGAATCGGGGAATTTGAAATGAGGCGAGGAGGAAGTTCTTTGTTTGGCTGTAAATCTTTTGAAAGGCGTTAGCCGAGGATGGATCGCGCTGAAGGAATCGGCTAGTCAGCAGAGGTGTCTCGTGAACGATACCGCGTCTGCGGAATTGTCGCTTAAGAGGGATCAGATTTAGAGGTATTCGACGGGAATGTTTCAGTGTCAAGTGTCGAGGATGAATATTTCTTGGCTTGGGAATAATTCTTCAAGAGGAAGGCTGGTAACAGTTTTTCTTAAGGGGGTCTTCTAGTGTGACAACGAAAGTACAACTCTTTAAGAATGTACTCCTGAAGTTTTATAGTTGTATTCAATAAAATAGCGAAGTTACAGCTTGTTTAGTGTGACACGTCAAAGGCCGGCGACAGGGAGAATGTAAATTGCACTGAAAACTTTAAACGCGTTCTTCTCGGAACCATGTTTTCTGAAAACCACTGAACCGATCGAACTGAAATTTTGCACATGTCTTCAGAACATGTGTGGCTATGGTCGGTAGTAAAATTATGCCAAAATATACATTTTTCTGATTTTCAGAACCTCTGAAAGACGAAAAACAGTCGAAAAAATCGATACTTCGTATTCAAAGTGCCACCATTTTTTTAATTTTCAATATTTTTCTTTTATTCTACTAGCGATCATAGCGACATGCATACTAAATAAGAATCAGTTGGATTTTTTTATTTCTGATAAGCAGAACAGCTCAAATCATGGCAACCATGGACCTACTTTTTTTTTTGCATGCTCCTGTTTGACGTGTTCCACAGTAGCTATATTTAATTATTTTTCAACAAAAAGAATTTGCAATGATTCTTCGAGGACAAGTAAATACACTGGAATAAAGTTCATGTTGATAACTGTTACCGTACTTCTGTAATAAATTAGCAAAAAAGGCCTAAAAAAACGGCCGTCACACTAGAAGACCCCCTTAAGGAAGAAGTGCAGTTTGCAAGTGTCGAAAGATTGATTTTTGTTTTCAACCCTTTGCACTCGAGAGGCGACTAAGAATCGACGTTGACCCATGCGCGAAGAATCCTTCGGTATCAGCTTAGTTATAGCAAATTTTTAGCTATTGCGGAAATTTCATCTAAACATCTCAAAAAATTTTACATACTTTTGTTTCTCTTGCGGTATTTTCAGCAATACGTCTTACTTATTTGCTTACCACTTGGTAAATAATTAATCGATTATTAGAGCCGATATTTTCCAGGACAACAGATCTATGGGGCTCCGTAAATTGTAGAGATCCACATGTTAGAGGTGTAAGCAATGAAACAGTTTGAAAGAACCAACCTGTGATGAACTGTTACAAGCTTTTGTATAACATAAAAATATATTAAATATTGAAATAAAATAGTTACATCCTTTAATATGTGTATAGTGTACATTTATGTTAGTTTTGAAAAATTTCGTCAATTTTATTTAGCAAACAATCTCCGAGTTGCTATCTTGCAGGAAAAAAATCAAGTGCAAAGGGTTGAGAAATTGAAAATAGGTACATCATCTGAAAAATGTAGCCCTATAACGTTAAGGACGAATGCATAAAAGTAACAGTTATAGTATAAATTTTTCTTAAAGAAATTAATAGTTAAACGTCTGAAAAATATGGCCCTATAATATTAAAGAAGAATTTACGAAAATTACGAAGTTATAGTATAAAATTTACACTAATAAAAATACTAAAATATTAACAATATTAAAGATTACATTCGACAAAATTATTTCATTGTACTCTAAGGATGCCTCATTCTATATAAAAAAAAGAGAAAATTACGATACCTCTACTACTTTAGTAAAAAAAAAAATTGTTAAATATCCTTTATTCTTCGAGCTGTCAAACTGAACTTCCCCTTTAATTATGTTGCGAGACTTCTGTTGCGAGTGTTTGGAATTTGGCCAAAGCAAGATTGAAATCTTCTTTTCCTTCAATAATATTAATATTTTGGAATACTTTCGGTGTAAATGCTTGGAATTTTGCCAAAGTGAAACTGAAATTTTGGTTTTTGGAAATAATGTCGGTAAACTGAAAGTTTTCTTGGTTATTTTGGAAGACTCTTGGCACGAGCGCTTGGATTTTCAAAACAAACCCTTTTCCTCGGATTATTTTCACACAAATTCGACACAATTGTTCAAATTCTGAACGATTAAATGTACGAAGTTTGGTTAGAAGATGAATTTCATCAAGATAGTCCTGCAGTCATTTTTCTCTTTAACACAGATCAACGAAAATGTGGCAAACGTACGCCGTTAAATTTCTCTGGAATTATTCGGGAAGGAACTGCAGTTAGAAAAACAGCTGTTCAAATTGTTCGGCTATTGTCGGCGTCGTTTACGACACGACCAATAAAAGCGAACTTTTGGCAGTAAAGACGCTTAAAATTTTTAGAACTTCCCCCCTCCGCGGGTTACTGGTCGGTGAAAATCAAAAGGCAACGATAAAGAAGCTACCGTTCTCTTGGTTCAACGAAAACAGCTAAAAAACAGTCTGGAAATGATTTTTACAAGCGCAGAGAGGAACTTTTGATAATTCTCGAGAAGTTCCAGTCGCTCAAACGAAGGCCGCCCAATACAGAATAACCACTGTCGAATTCTAAAGTCCTACGTTTCTTTATTTAATCCTACTGTTCATTTATTCAATAAGTGAGAACGTGAAGGAAATTTCCACCTGCTTGAAATTCCATTGAAATACCTGCCTCAACCTTGCCGTCCACTTCATACTTCAAGAATTAAAAGGAGAATTAAAATAACAACCGTGAAAGAACGTCCGAATGGACAAGCATCTCTTAACAATTTAGTACACAAGAGCTAATTATCAAAGTGTTGCATGCTTATCGAGGTACGAGGTTTCAGGGTAATATTAATTCAGCGCTTAATGAGGATAATAGTGCCATTTAAATAGAAGCAATTTATCTAGCCATATACTTACTATATTATTTATCTCAATAAGAAATTTAAATTTAACCAGTTTACAAGGATTCAACTACATTTGTATTAAAAAAGAATTACAGTTAATATTACCTCGTCCACTGTGGATAAGAATCATAGTTAACAATATAGTCGACCTGGAAACATTGTCTGCACGAAGAAGAATATCCGACCATAGCTTTATCTTTAATTTAATTAATAACCATACTGATTGTCCCTCTCTCCTTATGCAAATGAACTCGTATTGAGATCTACATATGGATTAATTAATCCAATAAATCGCATTATTGCTGACTCTAGCACTCTCTATAATCGTATTGATTTTTTTTAGTGGGTCTTTACACACTTTTAAAACACAATTATGTAGGATTATCGGATAATGCCATACCTTTTGTACCATGAGTTTTTGTGCATGTCCCTTCTTTGTTATGTCATGTAAAGTCTTTCTTCTTTTGTGTAGACATTTATGTAAGAGGGCTTCGGTCCGTTTATAAATAAATAATAATAATATTTTGTCACAATTTCTAATATTATTGTGAAAAAGAATTAAAAAATTAAATTTGCCTTACTTGAAGAAATACAATTCTTTCAGAAAATTGATCACAACCTTGAATAGAGAGAAAGCGGTACTTAACGAAATACTTGCGAACCATGGTTGTATGTCCTAAATGCTAGGAATAAATTGTACGTTTTCATCCAGAACGATAAATGCGGTTAAATAGAATATGATGAAAATGAACCCTTCGCAATTATTCTCATCTTTGAATTACAGAAAGAGAACAGAGTAAAATGTTGAAGGATGAAGAAGAGTATCCAATGGAACGGTTAGTCAACACTTGGTCGGTTTTAATGTCACCAATGTCTTCGACCTTCTGATTTGTTCAATCGACGAGAAAGGTACACATTGCAGGTTAACTTGCGTGTTTCAGCGTCGATTTCACGGGCACACCGGTTGAAATATTCCACGGCAGAGCTTCCGAAAGTTCTCCCGGGGTCATTAGCGTGGGACCGGAAGCGACAGAGAGTACCGCGACCCACCCTCCTCGATTTACCAGCTCGTTTTCTCACTGTTGCCTCGTATTCTCCCCTCTCACCGGCTGTTTTCCGCGAGTTTTCCACGGGAACACCAGCATCGCGGACGATAAATCGTCGTTCGCGAAACTTCTCCATCGGGGACACGCAAAAATGGTCCACGAAACGAGCACGGTTTCTCTCTGGAATCGCGCGGAAATCGAGGATACACCAGGATCAGCGATTATCTTCAGAGCGTTTCGCCTTTAACGCGATCACTTCGATTTTTTCCCCCTTTTCTTTTGTTATTGCAACGCAGTAAAGCGAGTTCACTGCCCACGGTGGACAGATTATCGGCGGAGTGACGTTGAATTGTAAAAACAGCCTGGTCGTTCCTGGGTAAAATTGCCGAAGAGACGGGATTTAACGCCACGTGATAGCTTTACGCGGGAATAAATGATTAATCCGAAACTTTGTTCAACCGTCGAGCACTGACGATTCTTCTTCGATTCCAAAGCGTTCAATTTTGAGGACTCGAATGTTAGAAATCTTGTTTCTCATCGGACGAGAAAAATGTGGAAATGAGATTCCGGTGCGCACTGCATTAATTTCACGGGTAATTTAAGAACAAATGTGTCAATTGCTTTCTTGTTGACCTACCAACGAAAATGTAGCCGATTAAAGGGGGATCAGGTAAGAGGGAGTCTACTTGTCGTTGCAATTCTCACTTTGTCAGACAAAGAAATAATTCCCCTCGGTAAACTCATTCGTTTGCACTGTTACGTTCGTTACATTTGTCGTTATCGTTAGTATCATTGCAACTTTGCAGCAGAATTTATCCAATGATCGAATATATTGGTAAATTTCCATCTTTATTTCCTATACTTCGATTTCTATCGATAAGAATTTAATACTTCAATCACGCTTTAGTTACATGAAAATTCACTTTTGTACAATCGTTAACCGGTCCAGTTTGACCCAGCCGGTTGTTAATGAACTCCGTAGAAGGAAAACGTTTTTCCTTCGTCAACCTACCCCGTTGAGAAGCATGGCGAACACGTGGCACCGTCCGTCGACGATTCTTCGAGTTGTTGGTCAGTTCTGAGTGGCGATCGAGAGATCGACGCTGCTTGATGGATGTCACGGGTGCGTCGAACACAGACTGATCTATCACGTACATTCCCGAAGTGCCGGAGGCGACGAATACTCCCACCTCTGACGATGAACACGGGGCATACCCATTATCTCGGTCTTTTCCTCCTTTTCAGCTTTATTAATTCCGCAGCTATCGCGACGATCGAACGATAACGCGGCCTCCTTTGATGGGAGATGTGAATATTCGATCGGGTTTTCGTATCGAATGCGATGACACAGGAGAAATTCGGCGAAGGTGAAGTTTCCGCGACAATGAAGGATGAAGTTTCGAGGTTGATTTTGATTGCGAAGTGGTGTTGATGTGAAGGAACGATGGTGTATTCGTGGTGAGGAACGAGCGTGAACGATAGTGACTATGGACAGTGTTGATGTGAGGAACGATGATGTATTCGTGGTGAGGAATGACGGTGAATGATAGTGATGACGAGCAGTGTTGGTGTGAGGAATGATGGAGAATGTTGTAGGCCTTGTATTTTTCCGAAAGACTTTCGTAATTCTGTTTCTGAAAGTTGAAATGCAATTGAGAAAGTTAAATTGGAATTTTTATTTGAATCAGGATTTGGAACTTTTAATTTTAATTCTAAATGGAACACCTGCATTTGAATTTGAAAATTATGATGACGAGTTTGGATTCGAGTTGAATAACTTCCGTTATCCAATTTCGCGAAGTTGAATTTGGAAAATTAAACTTGAATTTAGTTCAACTTGAACTGAACTCGAATTTAGAATAGAGCATTTGCGCTCGAAAATTTGAAATTGAACTTGAAATTGAACGGTTCACATTTAATTCTAATTTGAACTTTCGAATTTGAAAGTTCCTATTCAACTTCAGTATTGAATTCGAATTCGAAACTTCACTTTTCTAGAATGTAATCCTCACAGTACGTGGATCTAATTACTACAAACACATTATTCTATCTCGGACGTATCACTTTCTTATCACCCCAACAGTATCATCACGCTATCAGCACAGTATTTAATAAGAACCAAGGAAAAAGAAGCAATAATCCCCTCGTAAAAGCTTCAAGCATCAACACGAATGGCTGCAGAAATTCCCCGAGAAAAGCGCTTGCATTGCAGTGACGTTGAAAAGGACGAAAGTTGAAGGAAAATCGAAACGGATTAACATCGACTTGCATCTGACTGGTGCGATGATCTCGTTCGTCCGGACATTTCACATTCTTTCCCCGTCGTTGACTGTCACTAATAATCCTGATTCACGGGGCACGCTGTCAATAACTTGGTAAAGCATCGCGAAATTTCGCCGCTGTAAATCGCGGTTATCGAACGACAACGCGATAAAGCGTTGTCGGCGATCAGCGTTGTGCGGCGCGTTGCATCAAGGACGACAGTGATTCGATTACGCGCAAACAACGCGGCCCGGGAAAAGACACTCGACCGATAAAATTGCACGCCGCTCAAATTATTCCGCGAATCGATCAGTTGCGTAACCTGGACGAATCGTGACCAATCGCTAATTTTACATCGCGACTGTATTTGTTCTTACGTTGGAATTTTCCAATTTACAATGGACTTTGATTTCGATGGAATACAGATTTGGATTCAATTCTTAGATAGTTTTTGTAGTCGAATACTCAACTATTCCAAGTTGAAATCCGAATTCTACCGGTATTCGAATGTTGAATGCGAAAAATATCGAAGAATATTCGAATATTCAATTATTCGAAGTTGAAGTCCAAATTGTACGAGTATTCGAATGTTGAATGTGAAAAATATCTAAGAATATCCGAAAATTCAATTCTTCGAAGTTGAAATCCGAATTCTACGGGTATTCGAATGTTGAATGCGAAGAATATCTGAAAATATTCGAATGTAAAAATATCGAAGAATATTCGAATATTCAATTATTCGAAGTTGAAGTCCAAATTGTACGAGTATCCGAATGTTGAATGCGAAAAATATCTAAGAATATTCGAAAATTCAATTCTTCCAAGTTGAAATCCGAATTCTACGGGTATTCGAATGTTGAATGCGAAGAATATCTGAAAATATTCGAATGCTGAATGCGAAAAATATCTAAATATATTCGAATACTCAACTAATCGAAGTTGAAATACGAATTCTATGGGTATTCGAATGTTGAATGCGAAAAATACCTAAGAATATCCGAAAATTCAATTCTTCGAAGTTGAAGTCCAAATTGTACGAGTATTCGAATGTTGAATGCGAAGAATATCTAAAAATATTCGAATGCTGAATGCGAAAAATATCTAAATATATTCGAATACTCAACTATTCGAAGTTGAAATCCGAATTCTATGGGTATTCGAATGTTGAATGCGAAAAATACCTAAGAATATCCGAAAATTCAATTCTTCGAAGTTGAAGTCCAAACTGTACGAGTATTCGAATGTTGAATGCGAAGAATATCTAAAAATATTCGAATGCTGAATGCGAAAAATATCTAAATATACTGGAATACTCAATTATTCTATTAGTTATTAGTAATACTATACTATTGTATTTAAATGTTGAATACAGAAAATATCTAAGAATATTCGAATACTGCCGGTATTCGAATATTCCATGTATTCAAAGATTTCCGTAGCAACCCTAATTTTTTCATCTAGAATCGCCCCTTTCACGGTTGTTCCACCGGTTCTACCACCAATTACAGTCAGCATTTTCGTACCATTGTGAATTTTGCAGAAACAAGCTGACAACTTTAGGGAACATTTACAACAAACTGATAGAAGAAGTGAATTCTTGTAGTACGCAGAATTAGATTAAATCTGAATACTTTAAACAGCAAATTTTCATTCAAACATTAATTCCATTATTACTATTTCCTTTGATTACAATGCCAACGTTCATTCGTTTAAAATTGTCCAATTTCCTTCTTCGAAAATTCAACATTTTACCATCATTCTCGATTACAATTCAAACTTCCAATCTTCCCTTTCACTGTTGCCCCGATCGATGAGAAGCCTCGATAATCCAAAGTATCAGCCGCCTATCTAAACCCATCTAAGATCGAATCTAAGAAAACCTGTTCCACGAGAAAACTTCTTATCTACGAACCAGCCCAAAATATCTACCCTCCAACTTTTCCTCCCTGAATCCCTCACTGGTTAATTTTTGCCAATATCACGAAGTGGAAGCTCTATTCTAATTTCGCCTTCACTCGCTTACACATCAGTTTACGATAATGAATCACGAGATAAGGGTTCTCCGATACTCTAAATCACCATGCATTTACTGAATCTCATTCTGCGTTTCGAACGTTTCGCATAAAAAGTGTTCGGAAGAAATGATTCAGAATGTTGCACGGTGATAGACAAATGTGAATTCGATTTGTTGTTTCTGCCGATGGTCGATGGAGGAGGAAGTGGTCAGCGAAGATAATGGAGCGTTATTCGTGTCGTGACGGTTGCCTCGAATGACGAACCACTCTTGTTCCGTCAATCTTTCAATTGATATGGAAAATTACTTCCATTTTGTGTGGAGAACTGTATCAGTAGCAATTGTAGAATCTGTGTTGTTAAGTGTTTTTCATATAATAGTTTATAACGATGCTTTTGCGGCAATGACAATTTATAGAACATCATAAGTGAATATAATAATCATTTGACAGGACTCGAAACGCTAAGGCCAACTGTTATGCAACTCTAGGACAACTCAAAGAATTCTTGAACGACTCGTGCAACATTCTTCGTTTCATTCCAACATTCCATTTTCAACACTTTGAGGACACTTCCAACACTTTCTCTATCTACAAAGGAAAAGGCCTTCTTTCTCTCCCACTATGATTTTTCCCATCGAAAATGTTCAATGCATTGACAGAACTCACGTGTCACCGAGAGATTTCGCGACGAGCCTGAATCGTGTCCCTGTCGACCACCACTTCCCCTTTTGCAGCCCTCATTCTGTGCCTCTTAAAGTTACGCAGGAAGAGGCCAGGGTTTTTACGATAATACGGTCAATGTTCCCTTGGTGCGAAACAGGTGCATTTGAGCGGTACGCTGAAGGGCCATTACGGTGGTAAAAAGTGAACGAATTACTATTGATAATCAACAAACGCAAATTCGTGGAATTAGTGCAAGATTCTTTCACATTAAACACCGAAACTATTTTAAAACACATAAAAGTAACGTCAACAAAAAGTGGCCTAAATCCACCAAGATTTCTCCACGATAATTACCAATTATGCACCACTGATGAAAACAAAAATTCGTAGATCCAGAACGAGGTCGCTTTGAAGTAAAACTGATTGCAAAAAAAAAAACACTATTCAAAGAGGATGAAAATTAACACTGACACTAACTCCGATGGAATAATTGCCAATTACCATTGCCTTAAAAAAAAAAAAATTCACTGATCCAGAACGAGGTCGTTTGAAAATAAAAATAATTCCAAAAACAGAAAGATCACGAAAAAATATCATCGGCGACTCTAAATCCGAAGGGAATAATTACCAATTACCATTGCCTTGAAAAGAGAAAATCGACGAATCCAGAACGAGGTCGCTGCGAAATAAAGATAATCCGACAAAATAGGAAAGAAAACACTACTGGAAGGGCGCACAAAAATTAACACTGACGCTAAATCAAACGGGACAGCCTTTATCCCAGAAAATATTCGCCAGGATCCGCATACCGGGGGCGTCATTTACAAAACCGCAGATAGGCGGTGGCGTACGTCGACAGATAAAAAATATATCCTCCCGTTCGCGGTCCCGAGGACGCATCCGTGACGCGAATGATAACCGACTCGGGTCAATGCCGCGTGAAACCAAACGTTTGTGGAGCAAAGTCGAGACGCGGACTGCCTAGGTAGGCAGAAACCTTCGCTACGCATCTTTCTCTGACGTGCACTCGGAAGAGGGCCTGAAACCGGCAGCTTATATCGCCAATCGAGGCCAGTCCTGAACCTAATCAGCCAATCTTCGCTGAATACCCATTGTTCCGGTATTTCGAGCGCGGCCCTGATAGTAGTTGCCTAGAAACAATTCCTGTTTAATTATCGCAACGCAAACACTTCGACACGTACCGTACAATTTATTTATCCGCCATGAAAAATATACAATAACTCCATCGCACTATTCTAGAAAAATGAACGTTATTTACTAAGGAAAAATAAAGAATAAAGAATTGGCTAGGTTGTTTCTTTTTTTTTTTACTGTGCGAGGTCATAATTTCATAGGTCGTTGAATTTTTCCTTTTATGTCAACTGCAACACTGCGTTATGAAAAATAGAAGTTAATTTGCAAAAAATGTTGGTGATGACCTTTCAGGTGACCTTGGGAAGATTTTGGTTTGTCATGCCAAGGTGTACGTCTTGAAAATTGTACAAACTCCTGTTAGTGATTTTTTTCTTGTTTCCAATACCAGTGGAGATAATTCAGATGCTCGTTATAAGTGACTCATCCTGTATGTTTATGTAATTATGAGATACGCAAAATACACGAGGGTAACGTTCGAATCTGTTGAGAAATTTAACCCGTAGATAAACATACCGCACCGAATTTGTTTTATACTTTTTGATACCTCATAATTACATAAATTTGACGCAGTCTGTATATGACATAAGCGAAGAGGACAAACGCTTATAATTAAAATGTACCAGTTTTCAGACGTCTTTCCTGAAAGTTTGATTGAAAAATTCTTAAAAGAAAAGAAAATTTAAACTTGATAGTTTCTGACAAGCTCTGAATATAAATTGGAAAAGTGAAAATTGACAGGTGAGAATTGGCACTTTCATTTTTCCACGATGAATAAAATTAGCACGCCAGATCAGAAATTTCGGTGTTCTTTGCAAGGTGTTAAGGACGTAATCCTGGAGATAATGCGACAGACACGGCTGCAGCGTCTAATGCATATTAATATGATGTAATAGCGGCGATGTTGCTCGAGTAAGTAGCGTCATCCAACGTTGATAACGAAGAGTGTGATAAATGTGGTCGTGGGAGAGTTTCGTGGCACCTGTGAGTATGCAACTGCACTACCCGCCGCAGTTTGCTTTAATATTCGCCTCGGCAGATGGCCGTACCGTAGAATTCACTAGAAACCGCAGAAAGTTACCAGCGATCGTAATTTCGATTTATTCGAAACTCAAAAAATCAACTTTCTCGCCGAAATTTTCTCGTAAACAATATTTCTATACGCTAAATAAATTATTTTCACTGAAAAAAGAAAGATTCGACCGTAAAATTTCATGCATGTAATAATTTCTAAGTCGAGTTCGAAACAGGCTCCACAAGAGGGCCGCACTTTTACCATAAACCAGAAGGAAGTCCACTGATCGATACGAAATTTAAATACGATTCAGCCTATTACAGACTAAACGAAGTACCATAAACTACGATAAATTGTCGCTCTATGTACTAACAACAATTCAAATATTAAAAAAAAAAGAAAAAATAAACCTCTTAGTGCCTTCTCGAACTCTTTTTCCCTAGAAATTCGTTATTTCAATTTCTATCGTTAAAATTCACCTTATTTGATCGATCACACCAAAAGGCAACCCTAAAGAGTTCCTTATCGATAGCTTCAACCTCCCTACCCTAATTTCTCCCACCTTAAATCAGATAGCAATTGTTGCCACCAAGAAATCGTTCCGCGAGTCGTACCTACCAGTTCCACCGCTCGCTAATCCGGAATATTTTTGCCCTTTCGTGGGCGCGTTCGCTATCGATCGATCCTAACGCACGCGGCACTCGTTGCCACGAGTCGTGAAATCGTCTAGGCGGAAAGACAGAGAGAGAGAAAGATGGAGAAAGAGAGGGTGCAAAAACCCACCCCCCGCGCGACTATGCTATAAGTACCGGACACGAACCGAGCGCGGGCTTATAGGTCCCGTTGCGGTCTTCCTCGTTCGTTCAGCTCAACGCCACGATCACGGACCATTCACGGTGATCTATGAATAGATCCGGAGATCCTCAGCTGCCATTTTGATTTCGCGTCAAAAGTGGAGATCGGTCGACGACAACACGTGGAAGATTTAAGAGGAGAAAGAGGAGAGATAGTATGACAAGGTCGTCGATCGATCCTGGATTCAGGGAACCGGAAGTGAGTGTATACCAGTGGAACACTCGCGGTTGGGATCCATGCTGATCGTGATGACGATTGGCGTCACCTGAGACCCTGAAGTTCGTCTAGTGTTCGCCAGGATGAAGACAAGCAAGTCGTTGATGGATATCGAGGACATCTGCGGATGCTCCAGGCTACCCTCGATCATCCCGAGAAAGGAACTGCCGCAGCTCAGGTCCAGTTCCGGTGAGTTTAATGATGTACGGTGTGGACTGATGTGGAGTAGATTGGCTTGCCTTGGAGTTGAACAGGTATATGGGTCGAAGATTGAGTACAGCTGGATAGTGCTTTGTTGACTGTAATAGTAATATCTTGATTTACCACTGTTCATTGTTGTCGTGGCTGACGAGTGGTTCTCCAACCAATTCTTTTCATGTAGGGTAATTTCGGGGGAGACGCACCGTAGGGAGAGATGCACCGTGTTTGTTTATGACAACACTGGACGATTGTCAACTTTATTTTTCAGCTGCCGTTATCGTTAGTCGTGTTTATGAAGGCAACTTCATACGGAAAAACGCGTCTACTGTATTATTTAAGCGTAATAAATATATAAAAACTTCTCGGTGCTCTGAATTTCTGGCAAAATATTTTTGTAAGCGGTCAGTAAAAGTGTTATTATCTTATTATTGCGTAGCTTCAGCTATTTATTTCTTTTATTTTTCAACTTTTGTATTTTGACCAAATTTTCTGCAGGTGGTTTTTGTTTCTGTACAAGTGCATCTCTCCCTCAGTTTAGGGAGAGATGCACCATTAATTTAACTTTGTGTAGCACACGCCTAGGGTACGTAGGGTAACATGGAGAAAAGAAAAACTAAGAGAAGTTATTTGAGTTATCTGAGAGAGTATGGAATATCAAAAAAGGCTCTCTTAAGAAGATTTGCATTCGGTTTGGAACAGGAAAATTTTTCCGAAAATGTATTCTCCGTTCTGTAATTTGTGTGGTAGAGGAAAACAAAGAATAGAAGAACGAAAGAGGTGCGTCTATCCCGAATCTGAGGTGCATCTCTCCCTAGGCCCTGGGGAGAGATGCACCTTTTCGAATTTTCTTAAAAAGCAAATTAAAGTATTGGAAGAAAGATTTTATAGACTTAATGCTACATTTTGTTAAAGAAATTGAAGTAAATAATTAAACTATACTTACCTATACTTTTAATTGTTTTTATTTAAAATTTTACAAACAGAAAACAAAATGTGGTGCGTCTCTCCAGAAGATACCCTATTTTAAAAAGTTTCGATATTTAAATTCGAGTTGGTAATGAATCTGATTGGCTGAATTTAAATCTTGAATACATAGTTTGAATGTCCATGGCTGAATTTAAATTTTAGAATTTGGATATTTGAATTTGGTGGACTGAATTTAAATATTTCAATTCGAATAATTTGAACTTGATGGACTGAATTTAAATATTAGAATTTGAATATTTGCATTTGAATGTTTCAATTCGATTGGCTGAATTGAAACATTCGAATTTTTAAATAACAATTTAGCATTCGTAAACCCAAGCCTTTTCATTGATTATCCTCAGAAATCCTCTAAGAGCTTTAATAAAGATGAAATTTCATTGCATCGTTTCATTCTCAATTCTTCCAAGAGCATTCGTTCCCTTCCGTTCGGCACTTGGAATTGTTGACGATCGTCTGGACCTCGGTACGCGCGAATTCGATGGAAATTCATCCTGGATATTGATTTAACCGTTTCACTCGACTTCCGCCGTGAACTTTTCCTTCTCTATAAGTTTTGTTTACAATTTCCCGAAGGTTCTTCCCTCTCTCTTTCACGAGGTGGCAGTGATCCTGTTAAATTTAACGTGATTTCTGGGGAAGCACCATCGATGCTGGCTTACGTTCCAATTTCCACGTCGTGGTTCACACACGTTTCACAACGAGAGACTTTGAATATCATTGCCACCTTAACATACTCTTTTCAAAAAAAAAAAACAATAAGATAAATCTGAAATTTTAGATCGAAAATGTGTTCTTTCACGGAATTTCAATAGAATTCCACACAATTTCATGCAATTCTCAATTTAAATAATCCCTCACTTCTCTCAAGCAGAGTATACACGGCGTCGTGGAAAACTCACAATAAAGAGGCGATCGATATCAACACACGTGCTCCCGAAAGGAAAACTCGGACGATCGATAAAGCTCGTAACAAAAACCACTACACAACTTCGCGAACCTTGAATGAATACTAATTCCAGCGATCGCTATACCATCGCGAAATCGTCTCTCAAAGAATCCCGACCACCGTCATATCTTTATTTCATTTCTGCGAATTCTAATTTTATTAATCCCTCATTTTCCTCCACTTCGCTTTACCATCCTTCTTAGAAATCATATCTCTCGAGACTCTTCTTTATTTTCTCCAGACTTTCTCGAAATCTCCCTTTCCCCCAAGAATTGTTTTCCACTCAGAATGTTACATTCTTCAACTTTATTACCCCCTTTTCCTCCAAAAATAATGTTTGTAATTCTGAAATTTAACGTTTCGACCCATTTTTAAGTATGACAATGAATCTCTAAAAGTTCCTCTTTCGAGTAGCTTATGAAATACAATTGGACAGATCAAACGACGGTGTTTCAACACTGAATCCGTCATTTTGTACACTGTGTCGTGTTCCTTCGTTTCTAATATAGGTATCCAGCTTCACAGAACTGAACAGATGGTTCACGTCCGAATTTTACGAGCATCGTGATAAGAGGCAGTTCCGGATCCTCGAAACGACGAGATCTTCGAAGGGAGAGTGTTTTTAAAAAATTAATTGAACG